GTTATATTGCTGCTTACTTCGTCTTATGACATGTATGTGTGTTGGAATATATGTTCAATACAACGACAAAGACACATCTATAGGCATACTCCCCTTGACACCTACCCCCGCAAGTGATCTAACGAACCTCCTTAATTAAATAACAATTAATAGCAGAAAAAACTTACAATGTATTTCAAGGAAGCCATTTTAAGGAATTGTTTCCTGGTCTTTTTTTGATCTTCTTCTGATATAAATCAAAAATAACAAGAAATGTGTATTGCAAAATATATTAACATGTATTAAACGTTTTTATATACAATATGTATTTACCTGATATATCCTAAGAAGACTGCTGACCCAGACACTCAATGAAAAAATATCGTTTGTTATATGGTTGCATGAACTATATATACTATTGTTATCGCTAATTATATATCATTATTATAAAAGTAGAATGGAGTCTATGTATAAATGCGCAGTATTCGATATCTAAATGACTAGAAAATTATATACTATAAAAATGTGCAACAGCGATGACAAGCACTTTTTGACCTATGTGTACACTGTACACAAATATTAGCTGAAAAGGTTGGTAGAAATTGTAATTTTTCTAAAATAATATTCAACGTTATTAATTTGCAAAAATTACAATGATTAAATTACTAAATAAACAATTACTAAATAAATTGTACAATAAATAATTTTATAGAAATTTTAAGTTATTTCTTTCTGATTTTTCCTTGATTTTCTTCTAAAACAACAAAAAATATGGAACACAATGCATTAATATATGTTAAACGTTTTTCAAAACAATATTTAGCTGATATATACTATGAAGACGGACTACCCAGAAACAAGAAACAACAAGAAAACAATATTGTATGTTATTGTTTTAAGAATATACTATTAACTATTACTATCACTAACTATATCATTTTAAAAAGCATAACGGAGTTTATATAAATGCATAATGTTTGATATTTAAATTATTAACAAATTGTATTTAAAATATTGCAACAGTCCTAGCAAGCAATTTTTGCCTTAAGTATACATTTTATGTGTACACATGTGTAAAAATAAAAGTACAATTGCGTTAAAAAATTCAAGAACTGTACATTTTTTCGGAAATATATATTTTACTTAACAAATTAAAATGAATATTAGAATTACTTCTTATTAAAACATTACAAAGTTATTAAGAGCTTTCCATTCAAATGTCCTAAAACATAATCAAATTTTATAATTCAAAAAGTATAATAGGTTTCACAAATTTGAACAAAAATCAAGTGTGGAGACGAATACGAGTCAATACGATAATTGGTACACAAAAATAAATTAAAAGTAATTAATAAATATATTAAAAATATAATTAGTTAATTTGTACGTTTCGATTCTTTCTTTGAACCATCTCCAGCGATGTAATAAATAAATTAATTTTCTGAACAAAATACAAATTGGTTGAACACATACATCTTATATTGTCGACATACGGCGGAGCACTCTCTGCATGAGGATAAATATATAGGATAAATATATATTGCTAGATACTATGGATATAATTAAACTGTAAAAAATATTGTCATTAATATAATATCGATAACACTTACAATTAAAATATGTCAATAAAGTAAAGAATGTACTCACCTCACAATCAACATAGAAACATATTGAAAATAGAGATGTACATATAAAGTAAATAATAAAATGCAGTTACAGTAAATTCAAATAAGTCAAACAATAAAGTTCAGCCAGTGCAATAAAAAACAGTGAATAAATTAATTGAAATAAATTAGCAAAAATTCATCACAATTTTTTAGGTCTTACGATTATTTATTTTTTGTCAACAATCTTTGGTTGCACCGGGTTGTTTCTGATTCTACATCTATCTATTTGGCGTACTAGTCCTCTAATAATCCGCCTCAATTTATATAAGAGAATCCACCAATCCTTGAATACTTATTTTCTATTTTTCTTCCAGGACTTATATAGGATCCTGGTCACGTATTAGTATTAAATTGTATTGGTGCGAATTAAACAAATGTGTCTAAACTCTGTTTTCTCCTTTCTTTAGTTTTATTATTAAAAAAAATTTTCACATTTCGAGTATCTCATGAAAATAGGAGTTCAGCTGAGGTTTTCGGAAACTGTTGGCTCGCCAGGCCCACGGAGAGGAGACAGGAGCGTATGTGAATTTTGGCTCTGCCTGAGATCGAATTCGAGACTTCTATCATACAGCAAAACCAGTGCGCTATCTGCAGTGCTACGCTCGCAAATTCGCCTTAATTGTCTTAGAGATTTATTAGTGATATTTTTTACAGTAAAAACCATATTGGTGTCTAGTAATTTAAATATTTGCGACATGCGGAGTACTCTGTCTCACTGGCAACAGTAAGATCCATCAACAGAAGTATCCGTTCAACCAATTTCTATTAATTTGTTTAAGATTAATCTATTATCATATCACTAAAAATGATCAATCAAAGAAAAGCCAAAACGTACAAATCGGCTAATTATAATTTTACTATAACCATTAATTTGTTTTAATTTACTTTTGCGCATCATTGCGCGTGCAGGTTCATATTCGCCGCTTTTAGGATTCATTTTTTGTTCATACTGTTATAGGTACTAATAAGCTATAATATTTTTTTTAGTTCTATTGTTTATCTTTATTCATTTTCTAAAATTTTAATCTAATTTCATTTACGAAACTATCAAATTAGACTCATTCTGTGTCCAATTCAATTAATCTGCGCAACATTGCATTAATAATTCAGAATAAGCATTAACAATGCTCCGTGTTTATTTTGAACCTTTTCATAATACATATCTTACAATTCGAATCAAGAATTATATGCAACGTAATCCAGAAATTGCTGTAAAATTTAGAAGCGGTTTTGCAATAGAGAGTATGACCTCGGTATTATTCCACGGTCATTTTAAAATGACGTATGTTATATTATTGCCACATTTCGAAACTGACATTCGGCCAAAGACGATCGCTTGCAATTATAAACGACAATAATAATGCTGGTTACGTAAAACAGACTGCCAAATAATAAAAGACTAGTTAAATAGCAAGTTAAATGCAAGCAATTAGTCGCAATGATGGTAAAAATAGATACAACGCAGCGCATTTTTTGCTGAATCATACTGATGGATGCCTAATTGCTCAGCCGTAATAATTATCGGTAAGAAAGAGGCCTTATTGTCCGAAACGAGTAATAACTCAATGTCACCAGACTCCAAATTTCTAACAGTGAAATTATATTATACTTATTCGTACAAATCCTTACTAAGTTCATTCTTATTAATATGTAATAATGAAAAGTTAACGATGCAACTTCAAACTATATGTAAGATAACTGAAAGTGCGGAAACCGATCATGCAAAAACGAGATCACATATGTCATAAAAATTTTTAGTTATTTTACTTTCCTTTTAAAGAAATATATCATTTAAAAAATATTTCGCTAAAAAAATTAGATTAAAATTTCAGGAAATAAATAAAGATAACAAGAAAACTAAATATTTTCAGACCTCTAATAAATACATATTTACACTAAGAGACGCACAAATTATTAATAATAATTTACTTTGCGGAAATGAATTGTGCAGGTCCAAGAATGGGTCGATCTGTAGAACCATTAGGCTTTCTAAAAAGTAAACACATATTTAATAAATACATATTTACAATGAGAGACGCACCAATTAATTATTAATGCTAATTTTCTTTGTGGAAATAAATTGTACAGGTCAAAGGATGGGTCGCGGAACCAAATCGTTACACTCTAATGGGTATACCGCAAAGGACCAGATACTCGGGATAAATTTCGAAGCATTGGTGAATAATTTTTTGATCGCTTATTCTATCGTCTTGGACTCTAGACCTACCTAAGAAGATGTTACTTTTTACTCTTGATCTATTTCTTTTCAGTGCAATTCTATAAATATTAAAATAAGCAATTGCTAAACTTTCATTAAATGTGTTAATTTTAATTGCTTACGATTAAATGTTTTACAACTTTACTAAGTGATGGGCTTACTTATAAAATACTTTATAAAATAAAAGATTAATCAGTATAACATTGTTTTGAATTTTATTTTCTTCTAAATGTTTCGTGGGCATAAAATTAAATGGATTCTTTACTTAGCAAATACATTTATTTAGACATTTTATATACCGCACTTTATCTCCAACTTTGCATCGCTCAATTGATCGTTTAATCTCTCTCGACTATTAATTACACTGCAAAAATCAACAGTTTTTAACGACTATAATGAGATTAGGTGATTTTTATTAATTCTTGTTTACTATAAACACGAATTCGTTTTCAAATTTGGCTACATCACAATTTGGAACAATGGCGTCAAAAAACAAAAAAAAAAACAATTTTTTATGATGTAGCATCCGCAGCAAATAATTTTTTTTTATTTCGTTAATGCTACGTGAAAATATATAAACTTTCAACTTTAAAATAAAATGGCATTTTATGTCATTTCGCTACAATCTTTTGTTTCTAGTTAAAAGAAAAAATATTTATTATTTGCACGCATATCGTCAATATGATTTAATACGATATCTCTCCAATAAATATAAATAATCATTTCAGACATATCTTTGAATTTTGCTTTGATTTAATTATAATCATTCATCCTTGATATCATTTTTTTAATTTTGATGTGATAGCCAAATTTTACTAACAGATTCATGTTCAGTATTCAAAAAATCTGTCTAATCTGGCTAGTTATTGATAAGATTGATAAGAATAATCAAAATATTCCACGAGTTTTATTGGCCAGAAATGAACTATTATTTATTGATCTGTCTAACTTGGCTAATATTGTGCATCAATTTTTCTAAACAAGATTCTGATCAATTACTGGGTAGTTACAATCCAATAAATTAAAAATAGTAAAAACTGGCCAGTGTCTGACCAGTGACTAGTTTTTCCCAGAAATTTTTTTACTTGTAGAGCTGAGATAGTATTTTTGCAATAAGTTTTTCGTAATGTTTTAAGATTCGCATTATATACGCATATTGAAGATCAATTTAATTGTGATCACTATTTCAATTTATGGTTGGAAGTTCAAAGAAGTTTTTGGATTTAGAATTTATAAAGAAATATTATTAACCACTCAAATCCAGTCTCGATCGTAGAAGACACTCTCGAATTTAATTATCATTTACTTACGCGGTCCAGTTCAGCTTATTATATTGATTATTATAATTACATATATGAGATGTAATGTTATCAAAAAAATGCGTAAATCTTATACAGCCACGTGCGTAACCTTTAATATTGTTTAATATTAATAGTGCAGAGTTGCGAGCGAGTCAGCAGTACTGAAATTCGTTTGAACGTGTCTTCCAGCTGTCGTTGAGTTTAATATTTCGAGATTTATCTCGCGTACGTTTCTATATCTATTCTCTAATTTATTCTCTGTACAACGATAACACATTGTCCAGCCCGTGCAAGAAAATTACGACACCATCACTTCATCAAGAAACAGTACAACATAGCAATCAACTGTACTAGAGTCTAATAAATTGGCTATGTTCCGATATACACACTGCCAGCACTAAAAATCTGTAGTTGACGTACACCAATACATTTGGATCAATGTTATTACAAAAAAAATATTTAAATGTTAATAATGCATGAAATATATGATCAATTTGAAGATTTGAAACTAGAAATATCCACAAAAGTAGATACCCAAGAAAGAAAAAACTTTATTCTGTTATTATATATAAAATATATGGATTGTGTAGATCGGAACACGGCTATATTATAGTTATAAACCAATCAATAAAAATTACTACAAATAAATAATAATTTCTGAAAAAGTATCAATATTATATTACTTATCTATAAAACTTACGGTACGCTGTAATCTTAATTTTGAACTCAAAAAATCAAAAAACTAAAAAACCTCGAAGGAAAACAGGCATCACTCTATTGCTATTAATTCTGCTATTATTATAATACCACATATTTGCTTACATACTTTTATCATACGACAGTACCTATACAAAGATTTCAATTTGTGTTTTTATAAGAATTCATATCAAAACTATGTTTCTCTAACGATAAGCGTACATCATCTTTGAGATGATAATAATACGCGTGGACGCGTGGTTGTTGTCATAATTTTCACGGCCGCGGCCGCAAGAGCCAGATGAAAAATACGAGCGTGCGAACGGTGACGCGCTGGTATCATTATAACATAACGTCTTGCATTCGTCTGACCGTGTATTAAAAGCAAAGATTAAAGAACTGGTATGCGCAGATTGTCGCGGCACGAATGTACATCGGGCTGGCGAGACGAAAAGGGAAATGCTTCGATATCCGCGTGAACGCCCATTCCCTTTACGCGAGAGAATATGCGGCTGATTGGTATGACGTTGAGGCAATTTCCGACAATTATCGGAGAAGGTGGACGGGTATCATCGCGCAATAGAGACCTCGGCACCAATGGTGACACAATGGACCGCGAAATAGAGGCCGTTGACCGGCCGCGCCAAACTCTATTAGCTCCTAAGGAGATATTATACATGTCAAAACAATGGACTCTGGCCACTCGAACAAACGAATTTTATTCGTTTGCCAATACTGCCAGGTACGACGAACTCTCAAAATAATTGGAAATTGTATCATTTTTTTAACGTCGGCTTTTTAATCAATTTTAATATTTACTTATAGTAATTAAGATATCAAAATCATCGAAAATGTACAAGAAACTGAGAAGTGTTATTTCTAAATAATCTTTTCCTTTTAAGCGTTTGGAAAAATATTTTCTTTTGGAAAGACTAGATTTAATTTACTGTAAATATATTAATTTTATATATAAATCAGTTATTAGAAGTGCGTGTAGGAAGATGGAACAAGCAAAAAGTTTCGTTCCAGAAGTGCCATGCTTTTATTATTATTATTATTATATGTAATATTATATGTACGGAACTTTGTTATGTACACGTATAAGAAAAACGGTGATGAGAAATATGCCGAATGACGTGATGCAGATCGTGATCGAGATTGCGGGTATCTAAGAGATCAGTCATGGAGGTCCTTGATTCATGTTGCCGGGTGACGTGAATTACCAGTGTCCAGGCGCATATCCGCGAATGATACCGCCTAATCCACCGTGCCCAGCAGCAATGCTACCGGATGGTCCAGCGATCAGAGCTGATGCTGCGATAGGCCCGGAGAGGGCCGCTGGACCTACAGCAGGCCCAGCAAGCACTGCTCCATATGAACCTAAAAAATATAAAGAATTAGCTCATTATATATTTAAAATACGTACACAACATAAGTGACATGCGCATTTTCTAAACATAAAGTAATGATATCATTGAACGAGAAATATATTCAAATTTACAAGTTCAGAATAAACAAATAATTATTTTGATCCATTTTGTGTGGATGTGCCTATAATAATTATATATTTTCCAGAGAAATTCAATTCTACTCAAATAATTAATAAAATATATTTTTGAAAAATTTAAAGATAAAATTAAAGAAAACTCAAGTTTAATTTTTGTTATAAAGAAATATTTGCAGGAAACTTTTTTTTAAAAGAAATTACAAATATTTTTTATTCTAAGAATACATTTGCTAGAATTTGAATCAAACCAATAAGAGTCTGCAATTTTGTAGAATCAAAAAAGATGTACGTTAAAATATGAATTATTCGAAAGTAATAAATGGCAATACGTTACACTAGAACATTTGTTCGCGAACAATAGCTCTGGCAAGTAGAATATAATATGTATTTCGATTTTTATCCGGTAATTATTAAAATTATGTTCGTGTAACACACAATATCGTCAGATGCATCAAATTATCCGTATTTTAAAATTTCTTGAGATTTTCCACACAAAATAAAATTCTTTTAACGAGAAATAAGTTAATAATATCTGACACGTTATCGCAAAGTTCATTATCACTTGATAACAACAAATCATCGTAGCTTACCATAAGCTGGCCATCCCAAGGCTGGTGCCGCATAGCCAAGAGCCGGGCCGACCACCGCCGTGTGCCCAGCGACGCTACCGGAAACGACCGACGGTCCGGCCACAGCACCAGTAACAACAGCACCACCGTCGACCGCTCCGGATATGCGCGCTGGTCCAACCACCGGACCGGCGAGTGCGGACGGTCCGTTAATGGGACCTGCAAGAGCCGCGGGTCCTAGAATCGGTCCTGCTAACGCGGCACCGGCACCGTGGCCCAATAAGTAGCCTGACGGCGCCGCGGTTGCCACCGACAGAACCGCTACGAGGAGAATCGCGACCGGGGCGTACATGACGAAAAAGGGGAACGATCAGTGGTTGCTGGTACAACGTCGGGAAAATTTGCCTCGATGGCTGAGGTGGATGTGGCTGCCATCGACCGGTGTCCACCACGCTTTTATAGGGGCATTGTCTCCCCGAACGGGCCCCCCAACGCTCCCGCCAACCCCAAGGGCGGGGCACAGGACACGCCAAACATTCTCCGCGAGCTGAGGTGACGTTTTGTCGATTTATCAGCATTAAGTCACCGTGTTAGTGACACTTAGAGTGCACCTAACGTCTCACCTCGCCATACGTCAAGTTATGCGGCTCGAGGGTCACGCTGCTCCATTTCAACGCATCCGTCTATGGTCTCGCGCGTTGCGTTTCGCCTCGTTCTACTCGCGCAATCGGTAGCAGCAACAACAATAAGACCGGATTGATATCTCTGGTATAATATTTACTTCTAGCTCGCTAAAGCATACAATCGTCGACATGATTGACATTATATCTTGTTCAAAAGCGAATGATAAAATTTATATGGACAATGATCCGCATTGATGTCTAAAGATTTTATTATTTCTTACCTTTTACCTTCTCTCTTATCCTTTATCTCTCTTTTAAAAACACATATTATAAATAATAAAAAGAAAGTAATTGCACAAAAAGGACCGATCGACGATCATTGTAAAACAGGTATTACTTATGTAGATATGCAACATCAACACACGCATTTAAAGGATAAGATCTTGACTTCTCATCGTGAGCAATCATCGATGACCTTGAGACTAAAGACGCGATTCGCGTATTTTACGCGTGTCCTCTTCCTGCTTTCTCTCAGCTCGTAGGCAGGCACGTGTCTGTCGTCATTAGAATGATTACATTGCGTATTGTATTGTGCATTCGTCTAGGCGAGGCACGGTTGCATTGCCCACGCGTCATCCGGGCTTTGCAGATTGTCGCCAGGAATGAGGGCTCTATTGTTGTAAGATACAAGTGTGTGTACGTGCCCGGGCGCGCGACGATATCATCAAGTTCGCGGCGAATCGCAGACGCGGTGCCAGGAATCGTTTGCACAGTTGCCATTATCGAACGTCAAACACAGAGCCTCGAACGCAAAGATGACTGTTGATCGAGCAATACGGAAACTTTCGCCGCTTTTTCCATCGTCATCCCGTCTATCGCGAATGGATTTTCCGAAAGAATTGCATCCGACGTGTTTGAGCGATGAAAAACAATAAATGCGAAGTTTATTAACTTTGAACATTTCGACAATTTCCTCCACATCGCGATTTTCTTTCGAGAAAACGGAAAATGCATTGTGTACCCTTTGTTATGACGCTAGATCAGCGATCCTCAAAGTTTCTCGGTTACGAAACCACGGGGTAGAATTTGGCGGGACTCCAGCGACGTGTTTTTTCCGGAACCGCTTTAGTTTTTGTTAATCAAATGAGGCATCTAATCCTCAATAAATTGTGCAAAAATATATATTTTTGTATTCTATTCTGTTAATGTTACATAATTCATATTTTATTATATTAAACTTGGGTTCTCGTTTGTAATTGTATTCAAGCATTGTGTAATTTTATTTGTCTCCTATATAGAGTCTGTAAATTAATTCCATAAAGCACATGTTACTGATGTGCTTGCAGCGATATTAATGGTAACGGTTCTCTACTTAGTTATCAAAGCATAACCGAAACGCGAGCGGCCGAGTAGATTTTTGGCCACACGTGTTTGTACGCTGATACCCTCTCTAACTGGTTTACGATTACAAAGCACGAAACGTGACATAAAGGGGATTATCAAAGTTGCTTAACGTACATATGTCGCGTACATTAATCGATTATTCGGTTAATGGTTCGGACGAACAGTCGGCTACAATGTTACAACGTTTTCATCACGGTGATCACTGGTATCGCTGTATACATATTTAGCTTTGTGCATCATCAATCAACGAGCACTGTCAAGTGAGTTCTACTTCAAGCATTGTAGAATGCGATGGCCTATCGTTCATTGTGAAAATTTTCAATGTGCGCGAGACTCAGATTGATCGTTCGTGATATCAAATTACTCGTCTGCCACGCGCAACAGATCGCTTCGTCCTGCCGAATCGCCATTTTTCTCCCTCTTTTTTTTTATCTATAAAAATATAATATTTTATACTTATAGATTTATTTTATTTACGAGTATTCTCGACTCCACTTTGCAGTTATACGCATGGAAAGAACGATTTTGCTGGATTTAGATCTGAAAATAATTTTTGTTATATAATCAAAATAATTTTGTTGGAAAGTCAAAAATGATAAGCTTTTCTAACTTTCCAACAAAATTATTTTGATGATTCAACAAGAATTATTTTCAGATCTGTATTTAGCAAAATTTTTAGAACTTCCAGCAAAATCGTTCTTTCCGTGCGTGTATTGTCTATTTTATCATCTCAGCAATATCAGCGATAATTATTTTAGCATGGTTATATACCGACTATTTTTCATCGATTTCTTTGCACAACCTTCGATTGTATTTTCTCCGTGGCATTAAATACCAAGCAGTTTATTATAGCGTTGATTTACAATATACCATTCAAGGAGATCCCTCCCTTCCATCTCCCAGTCAGTCAATACAATCGCGACATCGGATCGCCAATAAACATCACGTCGCGAAGGTGATAAAATCAACTTCTTGAATTCATTGTTCACCCCTACTCGCTTGGGCGCGGCCGCTCTTGCCGACTCGGTTCGAGGTTGCGTCGCAACCTCGTGTGTTTTCACTCCGATTGATCGAGCTTTTTTCTTTTCTCTCTCTTTTTTTTAAAATCTTGTCACGCGGGTCCAGGACGAGTGCAGAGAGCGATGGTGCCCCGCCTTGATCCCGTCGTCGCAAGTTCGCCGTCCCACGTGCCCCGTTGTACCCCGGCTATAAAAGCTCATTTAGCATCAGCTTGCACGGCAATGTTCCTCCGTGAAGGCTGGTGGAAAGTCTCTGCACCTAATCACGGCATCCTCCGTCGTCATCAATGGAGACGCGCTACGCGGCGGTCAACCGGCGACATGGCATTAATGAGAGCGGAAGAGAATATCGGGGGGAACGAAGGGCGGCGTAGTAACGATGATTCCGCGCAGCTTCTGACTCGAAACTTTCCGGTAAAGAGACTTGCGCCAACCGTTTGATACTCGACATATTTATAATTCAGGTGAGTCACATTTTCACGCAAAACATAAAACTGCGAAGGCACAGTAAATACACCAATATTTGATGTGCGTATACATTCCTGCGCGATTGATATATCTTACATTTTTGATTATTGGAAATTGAAAACGCGTTATTTTATTGTTTTTAATGATAAATTAGAAATTTATGTAAAAAAATAATATTTACAAATTAATAATAAAAAATAATTTTCAATTTACATGCGGCAAAAATTCCATTATTTGGTAATAAAACAGTTATTTTCACGCAAACTTTTCACGAAAATTACTCGATTGAAATATCAAATATTCGTCGTTAAAATTAGTAGGAAAAAGTTTGTTTTTGGTAAAATTAATTATTATATATTTTCACATTTGCGTCAAAAGCCCAACTCTAAAATTATTTTATTTTACGGTTGGATACATGAATGAATCCATCCATTTCTCTTAATCGTAATAATTAATAAATCCACTAGATATTTAATGACAATTAATATTCATAATTCCGCCTTTTTCAAAAAAATTAATGTATTCTTTTTAATTCTCCGTAGGCATTCGAAATGAAGTGCATCGCTGCGTTCCGAAACTGGCTGTCAAATGATCTATCGATCGACCTTGCGCGACCTGCAGCGGCAACTCTACGGTTCGGCTTGTTAACGATCCTTCACACACGTCCTATTCACCTCATTATTATCGGCCACGCCTCACGCGCATTTTCGCGTAGTCGTTCGTACAACGCGGAGAGGGGGTAAGAGAGAAAGAGAATGAGTTTGCCAAGGGAAAACAATCCGGCTTTCTTGCTTTATGTTCTCCCCAGATCGATCTCCGCAGGAATGCCACCGGCTATCCGGTAGCTGACGACGATCGGTCTCGGTCGTAACTCTGACCCGCGACAAGACTCGTGATTTATGGCGGCAACAAAGACGAATTCACACGCGGGACCCGTCGTTTTCAAACCCTTATAAATGCTTCTCGTAGAAAGCGTAGAATACAATGATGTTTTGTCAGGGCTGTGCTGGACGTATAGTCGATACGGTATGACGGTCCATTCAGCTACGCGCAAATTGCAACGAACTAGTTTGCTTACCTTCCTTGACAGCTGTCAACTCGGTAAATTATAAATGGATATTTAATTACTTATTTAAGTAATTACTATATTATTTATTTAAGTAATTAAACATTAATAAGTAGTTTAATTATTTAGATGTTATTAATCAATATTACCAGTATTAATTTAAATCTGTTTATGAATATTTGATAAAATTTAATTACTTAGACATTCTGTAAAGAGATTGAATTTGAAAATTTGGAAATCTCTGTTTGTAGAAAATGTTACAAGTACTACATTCTTGACAAATATTTAATTCTTTATCATAAAAATTCGAGAAATCCAACAAACTTTATTTATTATCGAATGCATTATATATTGAATTTTTTTTATAAAGCAAAGTCATATAGCAAATATGTTAAGAGTAAAAGTTAATAATTTTTGTGTCAAAACTTATCTACCTCATTAATTTAGATCAAATTTATTATTAAAACTTACTTCTGATTTAAACAAAATAATTTAGTTATGCTACTTTTTAATTAATTTATAGATTAAACATTTACTTTATCAACGTAATTATGTTATATTATTCAATGTATTCAAAAACATGAATGCTTATAATTTATAAGAAATTATAGTAAAATGTAAACTTTCTCAAACCAATAAAATAATTTAGAAATAGTACAAGATCAGGTGTCGCTTACTTAAAATATCTCATTTGCTAGATAAAATAGGTGTTTTCTTCATTTTTTAATACTTCTGCCATATTATTCGCAATGTCTAGATCCTATTTATATACAAAATATTAAAAGAATTTGCATTCGGATTAGGTGATCATTATTATCACGGTCTTAAAATAATATTTCATTCTGTAATTCTTCGATAATTTTACTTGCTGCACAACATTGTTAAGCGAATCTTATTAGAAGCTTAAAACGCTAACTGGAACAATATCTTCCCACGGTCGTAATCGCCCGTCAACTTGTACCGCCTGCGAGTGATGCGACTGATATGGACGCCCGCTAATTCACGATCGATTATCGCCCACCAGTGTCAGCGCATAGCAATTAACGTCCTTGCACGGTGCGCGTTATTCGCATGACCGTCGTGAAAACGCAGCGCGGCGCCGCGCCGCGGCCCTCTGCTCGGCGCGGCCTGTTGCTCGACCCATTTCTTATTCTGTTCGTTCGCAGACGGTGGGCGGCCGATTACAAGTGGGTGACCTTTCGGAATTTGCGAGGGTTCGGTGCATTCTCACAATGCAACTACCATCGCGATGATGAAACGCGCGGGATTACGTAGTCGCATCGCCGCCATCTCAGCCGAGCGACGTGGCTCGCGGGCCACGGTTTTCCCATAAGGCGAAGGCCACGCGCTCGAGCGTCGCTCGATATTCCATCCGAGAGTGCTCGCCGCGCGAACAAAGCACAGTGATGAGGGGGGGGGGGGGGAGGGTATATCATTTTCCGACAGCGATTTGTTGTAGAAAAAAGGAGGAGGGAGGGACAAAGGCGGGGACACACGCAAATCCGAGATTAAATATCCATGTGACGATCCGGGGCGATTGTAAATCGCACGATAAATTACACGCGCGTAATAGATACCGTAAATCGCGTTTCATACTCGGATTTGTGCAAATCCTGTATAAATTGCTCGCTAGATGCGCCGATACTCAAATTTATGCCGGATATCTTCTTGGTCACACCTTCGTCCGTGATTCATTGTACGCGGTCTTTCGAGCGCACAAAAAAAAAAGACACCCGGGTGGGTCGTATCAAAATTATATATTTTATTCTGATACGCAATCAGGCAGTTACTAATCGCTAATAACATAGGGATTATTTAATATCGATATGTTCACAGATTATTGTAATGGACATCGGAGTCCAAAATGCATGTAATCTCGATGCACAACATTGCAAATCAGTTTTACACCGTTAAATGGATATTGAATTATCGATATACAATATAATCGATTATAACGGAATTATCCCGGATAGTAATATAGAATTTCGAATTTATACGTCAACGCTTTACGAGCCGCTCTATCTGCTTTTCTCTCTGACCGTGACTTTTCATGTTTAGCTTATGAGTGGCGGACCATGTCCGCGTCGAGTCACGCTTGCGATGACCTTACCCTTTACGGCAACGATCATTACGCGTTGCATTAAGGCACACGCCGGATCTGTGTCAGTTTCATCAACTACGGACCCCTTGCATTTAGCGATCGTATGTTCGACGGACACCGCGCGTGATCTATTATCGAATGATACGAATCGCTACCTGCCGGTATAACGATCTGGTCGAACGATACGTGACATGAAACGTACAGCCGTTCTGATCAGCGTAATGAAGTACGACTGCTACATATCGCTATTTCCATATAGGTATCTTACGCTCGAAAATCATGACAAAATAGGCTAGATAAGCGCAAGCGTAGAGAAGGTAGCGTGACGAAGTGTAAAGAAGGTAGGGTGACACGAAGAATTTTAGATTAAAAATTAGTCGCGTTAGTCGGAAAGTATAAATTGTGAGCAAAAATCAGCAAAGATGAAGCTCTACAGATACCAATTAATTATATAAACTACAATACTTATTCACTATTGTTAATGTAAGATTGAAGCATGCTAAAATTAAATTAGTGCAAAATAAATATTGAGTAGTAAAATTGGATTTTGAAGTCTCTAGGCGATCTTATCTTTTAGTACAACTGATAAATTAGCTATTATTTATAATTAGTAATTTTAGTTTTAGTGAAATATAAATATATATTTCACGGACAATGTTAACTTGCAATGCAAGTACATTTTCACTTGTAAAATTTATTTATACTGATAATGGTTTGCGCAAGTGGCAAACGATTATTCAAGACTTTAAATCACCGGATATAATCGTGCCGTATCGCCCATTGTTTTCACCATCGATAATTTGAGCTTTGCTGACAGAAGAAAAGGTTGGATTAGTTAATCAAATTGCCATAGTAATTCGCGTAAAATAATTGACCTGACTTTTAAGTTCTAAGTCCAACAGTTTACCACGAAGTTTCTACGCGATTTTCCACCGAAGAATTTCGGAGAAATTAATTGAAGCAATACCTCTCATAATAATCGTACATTTCGATTTAATCATTTGTGAATAGTTGCGTTTATAAAATCTGTTAGATTTAGGGATATATAATACAGAAACCATACGTCACGTATAATGTACAATAAATGTGAATTTGATAGATGTGAGAGATTAAAATTCATGAGATACACCAGGCAATACATTAATATATATTATATGTATATGTATATAAATAACACTCTCAGGGTTACATTATTTTACATTACATGAATATCTTCTTCTGTAAAGAAGAGTGAATTTATTCCATTCGTACAGAAAAGAGATGTAAGTATTCATGCGCGCACCGTGAACCGAGAGGATCGAGCGCAACGAACGCCGTCGTGTTATAGCAATTTTATATCTTTATGATACTTCCTTAATCTCTCTTAGAAAACCACGGAGGATGGGGGCGGGGGTTCGAAAACGGTGTATTCTACTTTCAGCCCGACGACAATTCAGAGAGATTACATATTGTTTTATATTTCGCAGACGGTTGTACGCGCGTTACCAGTGGCCGTGGCCGTGGCCAGCATGGATGCCGGCACCATAACCGCTTCCGTGGGCCGTGATCTTTCCGGAAGGACCGGCAATCACTACCGAACCGGCATGCGGTCCAGAAACAGCTGCGGTTCCGGAATGAGGTCCAGCCAAAACAGCGCCGTGGGTAGCCGGTCCGGCAACAACTACTCCGTGCCCTCCGTGGCCGCCGCCGCCGGCATATCCTGCGTAGCCGTAACCAGGACCAGCCGCGTATCCATAGCCTCCTGCGAATAATAAAAGCATATGAACATGGACGGAATCGTTCTTGTTAGTATACATATACAATTTAACTTTCAAGAATCCAAAAATAAGCTGCAAACTTTAAGGATAGCTCCCTTCCCTATATAATAGCATATTATACTTTACAGTATGTGTGTGTACTATTTAAAATTTATTTCAAAAATTGTTTAATGTACATTTTCGTACTGTTTCTTTAAATTATTATTTTTTACTTTAGATCATTGCTCATTTCTAAATTGGAATCTTTTTTGCAATCTATTTATTGTCAAGAGAATTCCTCTTCTTTCACAATACCTCCATAACCAGTTATACTACTTACCGACATAATTACCGCCATAGGCACCTCCATAGCCATCTCCATAGCCACCATCTCCATAAGAACCGTCATACGGACCACCATAGTGGTCCACGTGCGCTGGACCAGCGACCGACGCGGTCACGACAGCTGGCCCAGCAACGGCGCCCGACACGTGAACAGGACCAGCCATCGATCCGGACAAACGAGCCGGACCTATCGCTGGTGCGGCAACAGCGGTGGCACCCACGTGCGGGCCCACGACACTCGCCGGTCCAAGGAATGGTCCAGTAACAGCTACTCCATGTGCGCCGTAGCCTCCACCGTAAGCACCACCGTAACCCCCATATCCTCCGTGAGCTCCGCCGTAAGCTCCGTGGCCACCGTAATATCCGTGGCCGCCCAAGAGAGCTTCTCGTCGCTCACGAGATGGTGCCGCAGCAACAAAGGCGCACAGGGCAAACGAAACGAACTATAGAGATGAAGAATTTCAATTCGAGGTGAGTTCAACAATAAGCTACATAGTTAGCTCGACGCAATATTACACCAAGTGTTTCTCCACTTATATAAACGATATAGAAATTTGATTTTGGGAGAAAACACCTTACACAAAATTCAGCTTGGGAAGCAATATTTATCGTACGATAACAAGCGAGAACTCGCTAGATCGCGGAACTCCCGCGCGATAAAATTATTCCGTACTGCTTGCCTAATTCTTCGATAGGAATGAACTACGTATTCGCAATGGGTTTGTCACTTTATGTCACTCCATCGTTCCGCTGAGAGAACAGCAGCGGTCGCGATTGCGGCACGTTGATTGTTCGGGTAACAAAAGAGAGAAAGACAGGAGCGCGCACTTCCGACCGTCGCGTAGAGATAAATACTTACGAGGGTCTTCATCGTGCCGACCGGCGATCGCTTGAATGTGCCTACGGCTGACTTCGGCGGACTTTATATACGTCTCCTAGGATCTCCGACCGCGCCCCCGCTGATCCCTTCAAATCATATCCGTTGACGGCGTTAGCCTCTCGTGCATTGTGTAAGAAGGTCACTATCCGACACACCTACCCACCTTTGGACATGGACCCCTTACATGACCTTCGCTAGGAACTCTTAGGCTTGGAAATTTCAGAAACAACCTCCTTTGTCTGATCGGTACGTGCTAGACTTGCTGACTAGCGCTAAACGCAATCGCGAACACACCGTTCAATTATCTTGCAATACTTTGAGATTCGGAATTTATGGAATTTATTTGCCTGATTCTTCAGCTCTCTCTTTTTCTTCACGACTAGACTATTCTCTTAATTGATTTGTATTATATAGAATATTTCCTAATTTATTACTTCTTAGAAATTGTGATGATCTAAAAGAGCATCTAAATCTTTTTTCATTTTAAAAATATTATTGAAAACAAAGAAAAATTCAGAATTTATGGAATTTGTCAGATTCTTCAGCTCTCTCTTTTTTTCACGACTATTCTTTCAATTAATTTATACGTATGTACAGAATATTTCTTAATTTTATTACTTTTTAGATTATGATAATCTAAATCTTGTGATAATCTCTTTGTAAAATTTTAATTAATTTCTTTCTATTATCTCTCTTGAAGTCCATATAAGTTTATTCTTAAAAATATATTTTCTCGCTTTTAAAAGCAACAGGGATATCCTATCTCTTCAGATACGCCATTCTGAATATGCACTGTTGAGATGCAAATCTCTTACGCTTTTCTTTCTTCATGAAAATCCACGTATACAGTGACTTTCACATCTTTTTTAAAAGTCTTTCTTTCCTTTAATGTGCAAAAATATAACAAATGCAGAAAAAATATGTAATCCTAGTAAGTTCTCACATCTTTCGTCATAATTGCACATGCTAGTCACCTGTATCCTATACGTGCAATCTTATATGCAATCGTTACGTATACGTACGACCCGGTTTATCCCTTCAAATCGCACTCGTTTGCAATGGAATCTCGTACATTGTGTAAGATCAGTGTTTAACACACCTATCCTCGACTCATCGAATGACTTCCACGGACGAAACCCTGGGAAAAAGTTAAAATGAGTTCATTCGGCGCTGAAGCTACGAAAAATATTTCTTTCTCGCGTAAAGTTTGCCATCCACCGATTTCCATCTCTATGCGCCGAAAGTAAATGGCGACGAAAGTTAGTTTTCAGAAAATATCAGGTATCACGCATTTTTTGGGAAACAAATTGCTTGAAGCCCCTCCGTTCTATTCTGCTTTAAAGGAGAAAATTTTTAGCGATCGTGAGATAAAGTCATGCAATCTTTTCGTAATAAATATAAATATATGTGTTATAATGTTACAATTTTTAATATAATTTTATGGGGTTTATTTTTCAAGAAATCTGCCCATAATAATTATACACATTTTATTATCAATTATTTTACTATTACTTCAATTGTGGTGTGTGTATGTGTGTATATATATATATGTGTGTGTGTGTGTGTATATATATAATTTATAATTATCATAACTATATTTTATTAGAAACAAATTGGCACTAATTACATATATATCTTAATTTATCTTTCGCGGCATTTATCTTTTCGTAGTATTTACGCGTTACATAATTGTGGAAACAAATAGATACGCGTTGCATCTCATACAACAAATCATCTAAACTTAATATTAGACTTAATAAGAATAAATTTCATTTTTATCGAAGTAAGAGTAAAAAACTTCTTTAAAGAATTCGCTACTTGGATTTCAAATTTCAATTGCGTGACCACGGATAGGTCAATCGCGCGATTGAGTCAGGAGAAGGGCAATCGAGTCTTAACCCCGGAGGTTACGAGTAGAAGGGATGTTGTAACCTCGTCAAAAATTCCTCGTAGTATATACAGAGTAAAGAAATTAGTATGATAAAAATTTATGTGTGAGTATTGATATATAATAAGTGTGTTAAAGTTCACATCACTAATAAATGCAAAAATAAGGAGAAGTCAAAATATAAGAAATTGATTTTATACATACGTTATGCATGTACAATCTGCAAACATAATGCATATTCAGCAGCGTTATACATAATTATGCGGGAGATTTCAGGCAACGTCGAAATAAACGCGACTACATACGCTGGTGCTAACCGCGCTCGTTATGAGAGCGTGCATATGTTTTAAGACCATAGGTCACGTTATAAGCATTAAGTGTAATCATAAACAATCATACTGTACGCCACATACCACGGTGCGCGGTAAATAAAATTTTATGTGCATACTTTATGATTACACTCGTTTACTTCACGTGCGCAACAAAGTTTGATCGTTATATTCAATATAAATCGAGATAAAGATTGAAGTTATATGAAGTTGCTCGATGCAATGAGATTACGTACTGAAAAATACTTTTTATATAAAATTTCGATCATTTCGGGTTTTATCTATCAGCTCGATAAATTAACACGCTCTCGCGTTTCGCGCATTAATTGCATATTGACGAAGAGATTATTTATTTTATAAGTGCATTTAAAACACACGAGATACGATATAGCACCGCTGTAACTACAGTGATTCGTAATATGACGAAGTTCTAGGTTGCAATTTATGCGATGTGCAAGGTGAATCGACGCGTTTGCCGAGAACAGGCTGGCTGGGAAAGAACCGCGCTCTCAGGAATTAATGCGCTTCTCTCAGTGCAATATATAATCGATGAAGCCAACCGACATCGCGCACTCGACCTTTAACGGGTACGACGAAAGAGATGCGAACTCGAATGCTCTAATTCCACGTGAATATCACGGTTTCTGGTAACAGTTAGTGAATACCGTGAGAGCTTCTGCAGCATATCAACATCTCCCGAAAAGAATTGCTTTTCGTACTTACGTCTCTAAGGAGTCTCTACTAAGAAGGAATCTTTTTTACAATTTTATCTTGCAATAGTGTACTGATATTTGTTTGATTGTATTAAAAAAAAGTCTTCTTTTGTAATAGTTACACATTATATAGAAATGCAACATTTAATTTTAAAACATTTTACACAATTTGAAAAATATTTGTTCTTTAAGTATATATATATATATATATTTATTTATTTATTTAACTATAATTTAAGAAATTATTGTAATTTTTGTTAATAAATAAATATAACTTAAATAATAAATTAATATATAAATAAATTGTATATTTATTTATAAATATATAACTTAAATATATAAATATTATAATAATCTCGCATGTATTGTTACATAAAATTATTACATAAAATACTTTAGTATTCAAACCTGCTCTTTGAAATGGAACTATCTCTCCTTCTACAAGTAATAATCAACTTTGATATAAATCTAAAATTATGCAGGAATATATATAATATATATATTTTCAAAGATCATATAAGAACATGCATTAAACGAGCTGAAGAGGCGCTGTAAATGCATCAGCAGATGAACAGACAGCAAACGCGTATGTCCATGAAAGAAATCGGAAATTCGACCTTTAAGTATGATCTTTTCTGCTTAAGTTGCACTACGCGTCTGTAAATGTTTCACAAAGTGTTGCGCCGTCGTACGACTTTATCCGCTGCATCACGTTCTGAAAATTCGTACCTACGACGAGCGATTGAAGGAGGTACGGTTACCCCGCTGCGATTGAGCGTGATCAAAGCTAATGGTGAGACTGACATTTGCAGTCATTGTCTGCAGCGCAATACGGATGCAATGCGCCGCTGATGTTTATGGGAGCATGCAACCTACTCGCCGCTCTGTGTGAAAATCATGGGAAGTGTAAAACACTTGTACTTCGCCAAAGTTCAATTTGTCAAAAAAAAGGGAAAAAATGTATAATTAATTATAAAAGTAATTACAAAGATCTCGCAACTGTCTAAAAAGTGTTCAAAAGTATATCGGGGCTATACTTTTGGAGTACAAAATTTTTCAGAAAACTCAATATCTCGATAATTTATTAATTTGTATTTTGTTAATATAATCCATATTCGCGCGTAAAGTCTGTAATATACATGTGTATAAAAAATCCTCTATGAGAGTGAGGCAACCTTGACCGTAAAAGTGGAACAACCTCATAATGCTTTGTAAAAAGGTTTTTCTAAGAAACGCGTGCAACAATCGCACACCCCCGAGAGTGAAAGGACCGCGCCTCTTCGTATCCGGCATTCTGCCATCTCCACTAATTATTCCTTGACGATCGTTACGAAACGCACGTTTTCTATGACACAACTTATGACGCTTCGCAACAATATCATAATCCCAATCGTATTTTCTTCCTTCTTCATGCATCATATAATATTACGAGTATTTCAATCCATATGGGTCAAACTAACATTTTATTTCATGATTTATTCCTAAGTATTTCTTAAATATAATCATTCGAGTTTCTCTACATCTATATTTTAATAAATACAAATTTTGTTTGAATTTTTTATTTACAAACAATAAAAATTTTTATTATTTGTAATTAAAAGATGTTATTTATTTCTTTATGATTTTGTCTTTTTATTAAAGTTGTTGAGTATATTATAGTATTCATTAATAATTTCGAAAATTACGCTTGGCTACACTCAAATAGTCTAAAAATGGCAAATGTGATAAATATTTAAAATGATAATATATAAAGCAAGAGAAAACATTGGCAAAATATAACTGTTCCTTTTCGAAAAAACAATATTATAATTTACTATTCCGTTCAATTTCAGTTAGGCAAGCAACGTCGGTATTTTGCGGATAACCCAATTTGCGGTTTTGTTTTAAAAATAGTTAAATCGCTACATAGAGAGATGGATAGCTAAAAAAAGTTACATTTTAAAAAATTACATTTGCGCGTGTTTCGTTTCAATTCTTTTTCGCCGCACCGATAAGTTAAAAATTCTGATGCACAGCAAAAAATAAAAATTGACACCATTTGAATTTTACGGCGTTTTATGTTTGAATTTTACGCTCAAATATACCTACATTTAAAGAACCAAAGTGTTTGTGTTGGGGAAAATATGACTTTCTACGTGTCAGGCGAGATCGAAAATCGATGCTATTTTTGTATTCTGGAAAAATAGAAAAAGTAGAAAAAGATCGGAATATAAAAAAGAGGCATCTTAGCGCATTCAAATTTCATATGTTTTCTACTATATCACCAGCCAGTGTTTCCCTCGCTGAAGAGATTCTGTTCAATACCACGACTTATTGTTAGCACGCGCAGCGTGCTTTTTATTTTATTTATAGTTTGAATATAGAACGTAAAAGCGATCGTATGTGTATTCGGCACATTCGGGAATAATTTACAAGTCTTTTAGATATAAAAATATATAAATACATAAGTTTGACAAAGCAACATTTTGTTTTCTAATAAGTATATAATGCGAACAATTCAATTTATGGTATATAAAAAATAAAATTATACACACACACACACACGCGCGCAGGCGTATGCATATAACTTGTTCATAATTAAATTAAACTTGATTCTAAATTGTCATATTCATTTCACAACTTCGCAAGAAAATCGATCGCTGGATATGCTTAAAGCGAGAATTATCCGCTTCTAACGGAGAAGCCAGCATTGCCCGATCACTTTGTGATTAATTTAATTTAATCAGCATCGTTAGCGCTCGTTCATATCAAAGCTAATACCTAGACGACACGTCTGGTCGATTAATTTGTTGAAATAACGAAGCTTATACCGACACCTTCAGATATCTTGTTCTTTAATAAACGAACGTTTCGTGTAAAACGATAATAAAGAAAAATGTAGTAATAATATGTTTAATTATAAATTTGCAGTTATATCATTACATATAATACCTACTTCATTATAATATTTCTCCGAATAATTGAATCATAATCAACTAAGAGAATACTGCGATACTTGATTAATATTTTATGTAACCGAGGCGTGTACTTTTTTGTGATTCTATTAGCTATTAAGCGCACGAATTAAATAGCGAAACTTTGAAATAGGTCGTATCGGCTTTTAACGCCAACATTAGCAAAACAAATTCCTTTATTAAAGGAGGCTAACGCAACAGGCGGTCCATTTGCAATCTAATGTTTTATTAAAAGAAGGTTTTCAATCCAGTGTTTGTCCTTTACAAAACTGTTCATAATTTAATAATGAATATATGATTAATAACTTTAACGTTCACTAAAGACATTTCGTTTTTAAATTTCGATAAATAATCGTTTATATTTTATTATTATAAAATGTAATTATTATTTTATATATAATTCTTTCACGTAGAAAAAAACTAAACATAACAAACTTTGAGACAAATTACTTGTTAAAGATATTTCAAAACATGGAGTATAATTTAAATACTACGTAATTTACAGTCTGCATTTCACAACTTGTAAGAATATTTTAATAAGATGCAATTAAGATGCAAATGAGGAAAATACGAGAATCTTCCATATAATTATACAAAATAGAAATTTCACAACTACAATTACTTTCATGTTGTTCAAATAAAATTTTTAATAAATGATTAATGCTTTCGAAGTAATTCGTAAAAGAATTATAATTATCAACATCCGTTATATTGCACCTCTTGTTCTTCTTATTATTTTTGCTAAATTTTTATACTGCCAGAAGAAACAATATTATCAAAAATAGTTAGCACACATAACAAACTATTGGTATTACACGTGTAATACCAATGTTTTTAACAGTATTATTTATATCAGTATTCTCATTAGTTTCTCATTAATGCTATGGTTATCACATTAGTTTATCACATTTACTTCAATATTTTATTGGATATTTTATCAAATAAACTTATTAATAAAGTTCGGAAATATGGACAACTAAAGCATTTAACTTCATAAACTTATTACCGACTGTAATATTCGCTCGTCTATGTCTCAATAAGAATAATCAGTATTAATTGTAGATATTCGATATAGGTAGCTGTACAATGTATGTGTCTCTAGAAGATACGTTGTGTCGCAGTAATCTGTAAAATAATTCAATTTATTAATATGTAATTGAGTAATTATGATTATATATGATCAGTAATTATTATAATAAAATTTTTATATTTATATGTATTTCAATTGAAAGTAGTATGCAGAATTTGACATTACTTAAAATGTTCGTTAATTATATTCTATTAATCAAATTCTAAATGTAGATTTCTATTTATATTAAATAAAAATTTAATACTTACACTTACACAACCTATGTGACGATCTTCTACAAAAAGTTTACGGTTGATGCGTGCATAAATCGTATGAAAATATAATACTAAAACAAGATTAAAAAAATAAATTAACAAGAGCGTTAAAACTATAGCTGATTATAAATATGTTTTTACCTTTTTTTCCATATCATCTGTCGGCTAAGAAAAATTAATTATTCTACGCATTATTGTTATTATTCTTTCTCTCCTTGTCTAGCTTATTTACCGTCTTTCGAATTAATTCAATTAATTGGCTTATTTATTAAAATTTAATAATTCACGTGTGTTGTAAAAGATTAGCTTTCGTGGATTTATTTATGTAAGAATTTTAGAAAAAAAATTCTTTTTGCATCTGAAAATGAACTCAGAATTGACGACTGAGTTATTTTTAAACTCTCTGTGCTATCTGGACTCGTACTATTAATACACAATACATTTAAGGAATAGTCATATACTTAATATAATCAGTAATTTTGTATTGTATATTACACACGCGTTGTACGCGTTAATTGCACTCTTATTGTTATTGCAATAATTCATAAATTATTGACTATAAATGAAATAATGAAATTTTTAGTGGATGATACTGAAAAGCCAATAAGGATTTGAAAATTGAAAGCTAAGAAGATAAGCTGAAATGTAGAGGAAAATAATTGATAATTGAGGTGAACTCTATTTAGTACATGGTGGATGGTACGCGAATAGACAAGAATGAGTTTTAAATACTGATGCTTTATTTTATATAAAGTATTGTATAAATGTATAAACGCTATAAATATGTGGTATCTATCTATGGTGGTGGTGGGGTGCTAGTCGTGATCGCAAAGAAAGGGTATGACGAGGGCGGGCGGGGTCGAGGGCCGGCGACGGCGAGCCATCTATTTACATTCATTCACTCATGAGAAAGGCTGACCTACCATAATCTACCGGTCTCTCCTTTTCACTAACATATAACACGATTATATAATATATGTGTAATTGTGTGTATATATACGAGTACACATATATAGAAATATAGTGTATGTGTATGTGTGCGCGCGTGTGACAATGTGTCCATATATATATACATATGTATATATATATGCGCGGAAGTAATAGGTAGTAATATGTATACATATATATATAAGAAGAACATATGTGCGCATGGACGCGAGTAATAATAATATGTATGCTTGGAGTGCGGCGGTAAGTATAACAACATGCTGGGAACGTGCGCTTGACGCGACCGACCCGTGGAAAAAGAGAGAAATAGATATGTGCGTGAAGAGCGGCGGCCTTACGGATGGTGGAAGACGTAAGAAAAGAAAGTTTAGCCGGAACAACGGTAGGTGTTCAAAAAACAGAACAGATCCGGTTGATCCGACGACGAAGTGCCAAAGCTTGCCCACTTGCTAGGTCCACGACGGTGCAGCGTGATACGCGTGTGCACGGGGTGGCTTTGTGACACACGGTCGCAGCTCGGAAATGCGCGTCGCGTTTAGTATTTTGCTGTCCGAAAGAACGACGTTCGCGGTTTCGCGGGTGAAAGGTCGCCGAGGAGCGGCGAGGTGGTCGCGTGCCGAGATCGATGGATTGCGGCCCGCGCCGAGCTTCCTTTATCGTTGGTCTCGCGATGAACGGTAATTGACTAAATTTTACCCGGTTGTAGCGGGTCGAGAACGAGGAGAGAACGACGCGAGGCCGCGGATCACGTGTGGCCGAAATCTCGATGCCGTCCTCTCACGATCTTATCCGTCCTTCGGATCGCGCTTCATCGGCTCGCCGGTGTACGCAAGTACGACCGATCGACCGTTCTGTGTGTGTCCCGAGTGTCCAACGATCATATCACTAGCGCCAAGTGTGCCCCGATCGTGTTCCGAGACTGGACGAAGCTTTGGGAAGAAGACGTTGAGCGCGTTTGAGGATTGTTCGAGACCGGTAAGTGACTGTGGTGGGTTTGCCGCCGTCGCCGAGCCGAGATCGCTGGGGTCTTAAAACGTCTACCATTTGCCAAGGGGCGCGGGGATGACAGCTCCGTGAGCGCCGAGTCCAGCGTGGATGGCGCCAGACGGTCCGTTGATCACAGCAATTCCGGCGTCACCGCCACCAAGGGCACCACCACCGAGTCCAGCACCTCCTCCGATGACAGCAATGCCAGCACCTCCAAGACCACCAAGACCTTTGGAAGAAAATATTATTAATAGGAGGCAATCAAATACTTGGTGAATGTAAAAAGGAAAATGAGGAAAGAACTAGATATCAGAAATTTTTACTATCTTTAACATATAATCGATTGAATGTAATTTGATTTATTTGATTGAAAATGTGCATTACCTCCGAGTCCAGCACCAGGCGCGGCGTTAGCAGCAGCTCCAGAGCTTCCGTCATCACCGTTGATTCCACCGGATCCGGCGTAGAAGGCAACACCTCCGTAGCTGGGTCCAACGAGGTTAGCGGTGGCCTGGGATGGTCCTACGAGGGTGGCGGTTCCCTGGGACGGTCCAACGAGGGTGGATGGGCCGGCAGCGGGTCCTACAAGGCTGGACGGTCCAGTGCGAGGTCCACCAACGGACTTGGCTCCCTCCTGGGGTCCTACGAGATCAGATGGTCCGGTCTGGGGTCCAACGTTGGCCTTGGGTCCCTCAGCGGGTCCGATGTCAGACCTGCCACCATAGACTCCTGCGGGAAGAGCGAGCGATTGTTCAACATCGATGTGTCTTACGTGTTGTTACGCTAAAAAAGGCCTTAAGGTATGGCACGTAGATACGCACCACCAGAGACGATCTGCTGAACTCCAGCAGCGCCAGCCGCCGCCGCAGCACCAGCAGCATAGCTGGCACCAAGACCACCAGAGCCCAAGCTAGAGGCACCACCCTGGAGGGAGGCAGCGGTTCCAGCACCAGCGGCGAGTCCACCGCTCAGACCGGCACCACCGCGGAGTCCGTGTCCGGTGATGGCCAGACCGGCACCACCATAACCACCATAGCCACCGCCATATCCGCCATATCCACCATGGGCGATTCCGGCGCGGGCCGTCGCTACCGCTAAGCAGGCGAACACAATCTGAAAGAGACGAGTGACATTGTACGACGAGTTCGCAAAAATCCAGACGATAACCCGGCATTCAAGACCAAAGACCATTAAGACCGTTGAGAGTTTTTAAACGATAAATATTGCGTGAGCTCGAGTTTTGATTTACGGAAGCGGTTTGCGTGTGCGCGTCGCGGGGCTATCGCTGTTACGAATCTAGATTTCCATTGGCTTGGCACCGATTACCGGGTCTGACTACCGCTAGATCCGTGCAACATAATCGCGGCTTTCACTTTCGATTTCCGTGAATGTCCGCGGTTCGCGAAGTCCAAAACGACGGAAAACGCGTGCACGCGCGCGCGCGAGAGAGAAGGTTTCTAGATCGCCGAGATGATCTCTAAATCTCGTCGAATACGCGTATTCGCGACTGGTTTATTGCGAGGGCGGCGCGATTACGCGAACAAAAATGCAATGAGAAAGCGGTCGAATGCGTCGACGGGAAAATCGACGATATTAGATACCCGTAACAACGCGCCGTAACGTTTCGTAATCAACTTGATAGAGCCACAATTTCCCCCTACCCCTCGCGTCGGTTACTCTGGTCACCATTCCTCATGACCGTATTAGGAAAACTCTTCTAGGCCCGTTAATAGGCCGCTGCACGCGCAACGCCGTATCGTCGGACCGTTAAAAAAAGTAGTCGCGATTGCATAAAATCCGCGCGAAAACGACTCAACGCGAGCATATTGCACGAGATTCTATAATTAATCGATAAATCGGTTATATCCGTTACGCGAGAATTTACTGATTACGCGGTATCAAGATTTGCGATTTGTCGGATTCAATTTCTCATAATTAATCGGGAAATCTGTGACTTTGATCGAATTAGGTCTCGGTATTCCAAGAAATTTTCTCTACCCGAGAGAGATTAGAGGGACAAATCTCGGCGAGTTACGTCACGTATCCCGCGTGATACGTTTAAAGTCGTAACGCTCGCGGCTCGTAATACGGGAAGCGGCGTTTTAGAAAGGAAGTGTTTCGCGCGACCGTAGAACCGCGATCGGGCAATCGGCCGATTAGATATATCGGCGGCGTGTATACGTAACCGATATTTCGCGATCGCGTGCGAGCCGATATTAGACGGCGGCGCGTGTGTCACGCCCGGTTTGCGACCGTTGCAAACTTAAATGGCACCGCGGCCTGGAATTATGCATATCTAACGACTAACGCGAAACTTTCACATCCCGTTTACGCGGAATGAACGACTGACTCGCGGCCCGCGCGCGCGCTCGTGTGACGTGGCCGACCGAGCGTTCCCGCGACCTCGCGCGATCGGAAAAGGATCGATCGTGCCCGATTTCAAAATCGCCTGCGCGACCGCACGAGCGCCGAGTATATTTCCATCGGCTCCGAGAAAATTGCAAAGGCATTCCAAGGTCTGACGCAATTAAGGCGATTAAGATATCGTTATCGGCACGTCATTATTGATAATATAACTCTAATTACATAGCGTTACGTTTACTATCAAAATAGAACGCCAGTTAACGCGCATTACGTTTGCAGGACGGACCGAGGCAGAACGTAATTCCGGCGTTATTCAATGGATACTGTGTACGTAAAGCGACGGGGAAAGTCAAAAGAACTGCAACGGCGGAGAGGTACAAGGGTGACGGCAAATTACGGTGCAATCCCGATCGCGAGATTCGTGAATGAAGATGCGTCTGTGCGGAATAGAACCGGTTGCGAGTTAGTCCCGCTTACTCAATGACGATGATGATACTACCTACAACCGGTTTTCGCCGAGAGCGGTCGGCGTGCGCGATGCGGTAAGATTTCTTTGCTTTATGAATGAAAGTCGTCTGTTTGTGCGTCTGTATGTCTGCGGGAGAAAAACAGCGAAGAGAGTATCCCAACCGTGACATTGAATCATCGTCGGTTCTATCGCGAACGCAATAAGAAGCGAAAGAAACGAAACGGTACAATGGAGACATTAATAGACACGCGACATTCAATCGACACGAAAGAAAGCTCTCTCGAGAGCTTGCAAATACGGTCGGTATTTACTTTCCGTTTGCAGATACGCCGCCATGTCTAAATGTAATCGTGCATTAATCTAGTTTCTTGTTCGGTTTCAATTAAGAAGCGCGCCAGAGCGAAATGCTACAGAGATAAACTTTCGCAGTGACTATACAAGAAAGGGTAGAATTTTATGAGTAATTCCGTTAAGGGCTCGAAGTAATTCAAGGAATGTTCAAAGTTTTCAGATCGTCACTGTTTATTCGCGGACACGAAGATAAGTATCCGATCAAGAAGCTACGATAATCTCGAAGAAAACACGCGATTTTGAAGTAAATGAATAGCCCGCAGAGCGACAAAGTGTCGCGAGCAAAGATTGGATAAAAGTAGCGGAAATTAAATAAAAGTCTGATCGAAGGGCGCGAGACTATACGAGTTAAACACCTCGCGAACACCTCACCAACCCCCGATGTTACGGAATACTCACAAAGGCCTTCATGTTTGGTGTGTGTATTGGGCTGGTAGTCCGGTGAATGACTGACTTGGGCCGGGCCGGCGGGCCTTATATACGCCTAACTCTACTCTGGACACGCTCCACAATCACCATCCTTTCGAAAGCAAGCAAGGCGCTCCACCACCCTCCCTCCAGAAAAACTATAATCCACGTACCGCGTACCAAGCGGCCGTAGCTCGTAGTCCGCGGCGGCGGCGGCGGCGGCGGCGGCGGCGGTAGTCCCACCACCCGGTTCGGGGGTGAAGGGGAGTCCCCCCTTTATCGGTGCGGCGATGGATAGAGGTTGCCCCGTTGTGGGTTGTATTCATGGTGGCTATGTGTCCACGTTTAATAGCCGCAGCCTCCTACTCCTCCTGCCCCACCAGCGGCGGCGTTGGCCTACACACTCGCCTTCTACGCGACGGGCCACACCAAGTGCAACGCCGAGCACCACCCGGGTTACCTGGTCACCTACGATACAACTCTCTTTCTCGCAGGCGTGGTGCACACGGCATGCACACGGCGTTACACAGCTCTCGCACGCGGCTAACGCTAACGGCGGAGTCCTTTCCGGTTACGGTAGACGGCGCAGGTGCAGTGCCGATAGCAGCAGAATGGTAGCACCGAGTGATCATCACTTTAATTAATTGGGCAACCCTCGTCAGTGATAAATCGTTGTTTTGCAATTGCGGAATGGACTCACGTAGGCTTTTAGATGATGGAGCAAGCGTTTCTTCATCGGCAAAGTTTCGGGGGAGTTTCACGAGAGGCTGCAGTGTTCAAGAAAATCAATTGAAGACTAGAGTGACTCTACTTTTATCGTAATGATCAATATAAAAAAAAAGTATGACAGAAATGTATTGTTGAAGACGTTTGAAAAGAGCGAGTACTTACCGCACATCCAAATATCTTTCTTTCTGATAACTTTTGGTCCGACAAAATTTTTTTTCTAAAGCGGTAGGTTACAAATATATATCACACTATTATATTTACTAACTCAACAACTGATAAAAATTGCGACAGCATCGTATGATAAATTAATACAGTTTGAAGTTATTAGGCTATTATTATTTTTGTCGCAACTTTTAATGCTGAAGAAATCTGAAGAGGCGATTTGATGGAGAGTCACGATTATTGAAAATGACGTCCTGACCTCTCGAGGGTCACGACACGGATCTTCGGCTAATTGATGGCGCCGCGTAATGCGCTTATTTCAACAGTCCTCACTTTAAGATAGGTCGTCTTTGATTTTTTTTTTCTACATTCATTTGAATGCAGAAAACTTTTTGTGGGAGGCGGGAAAAAAGCAGAAACCGCGACAGTGTCCGAATAACCGAAAGTTATTACTATTCATGAAAACCACTATCCGCACAATGTCCGAGAAGTAGAGAAATCACGGTAACTTTAAAGTTTACATTCGGACACGAGCGGTTGTCACACGAAAAGTTCCATCTGAAAAAAAGAGGGAAAGAGATCCAAGAATGATGAAGCACGGTCCTGATTACGACCCGTTAGGAAACGAGGTGTCGTATCGAAGAGAAATTTCACGTTTGGTGTAAACGCTAAGTCGTTCTAAAGAGTTAGAATTATGAGTCGTTGAATGGCCTTAAGACAAAAGGAAAAAAAGAAAATAGAAGGACCTGAATTCTTTTCTAAATAGATTGCCTGCCGTCGCCGTCGCTACAGCCGTCCGCTCGTTACTTATTACCTCAACCTACTAATTCCAACTGCTATAGTGCATTACGCTGGAAATAAAATCGTAAAACGTAAGAAACGAGCGAATTGCCTGTTGTCGTGAGCGATTTGAATAGTCGCCGTAGTTTGTCGAGGATGATACTCGACAAACCACGCAAGTTCGATCACTTTTTTAATTATATATTATCCGGTTATCTCAAAAAGTCTATATAAATATCATTTAACGGCTATTACAGTCAATCTTATCTTTATTTAACATTGCACGCAAAAAGATATCATTCAAGGCGTTAATTGTAATAATCTGCATAAACGCGCTTACATTTATTTTGTAAAAATGTGGAAACGCGTAGTTAGAAATGTTATAGATAAGTGAAGAATGGGGTAAAATGCATGTGTGTGCATGCATTACGAGAATGCAAAAAAGTTGTTTACGTTTAAACGTAAATCGAGATCAAGTAATCCGTCCGCGTGCATGCACGTATATTAGATTTCTTTGCGGATTATTGTTGCATACACATGCTCCGCGCATATTTCCTATATGTACTTTCTTTTTTTAGCATACGCTTTTCATAATCCGGTATATACGTAACGGCGGCGCGATGAGCAATTGCTAATCTCAACCTTAAAGGTGTGCTGAAGTGCAGCGCGCCGAAACGTAACGCGGCTAATTGCATCCGATTAATTACTTTTCGTTTTCGAGCGTGATGCCCCGTTTATTATACGAGCCGCGACTTCTGCGGCACGCGAAGTGAAAGCCATTATATTATTTGGCGCCCGCGAAAAAATGTTCGATCTATCGCGAAAGTCGCCCGCGCGACGTAATCTTTTCTCGTACGGCACAATCCCCGACCGGTTTCGGTCGGGATAATATATAAACCCGATGCGTGGCAGCCGCGCTTTGGCTCTCCGGTCGGTCTCACCCTCGAACGATCAACCGACAAACATTTCGCGCATTAATTGCCTCATTAGCCGATTAATCGAGCAATTATCTAATCAGTGGCGAGACTTATCTCTCGCGCAGTGCGACCCAACGTGCTTCGTTTCGCATAGCGATCGAAAGAACGGATCCACAATTATCGCGCAGTTATCCCGCAATCAATCCGATCCTATCGATCTGATCTCGTAATTTCGCCGTAGTACGGGGCAATTATTAATCCCGTTGTCTCGTTTTGAATACGACTATTCTTGCGGCTTGATTCCTGGCAATCGCGCTTCACGATCTCGACTTTTACACTCGGCTTTTGCTATCGGAGTCGGAATCCAGAATCCAGTTCCGCGACCGTTCTGAATTATTAAGCGATTTTCACGGATCGATAGAGTATCGATTGGCTCGCGTGGTCAATATTCAGGGATACGCTTCTGTGATAAAGCGACTTTCTCGCCGACGTGCAGATCCAATATACTCGTGAATCGAATCGAAATGGAGGCACTGAGAGTTTATTCCATTGAAGCTATAGGATTGCCTGATATTAAAATTATTTTATTTTATTTATATCGATTATTTTTTTTACCAAAATTTACTTATTCTAATAGCGTGCTCGTTCAAACTAACAAATTATTTGACAATTACAAGTTCTCGTAATTAAAGATTACGAATTGGAAGAAACTAATAATAAAATTGGTACGTTTATCGAACATATAACGCTTTCTTTTTCGCGTCGATGGACTTTAAAAATAATATAAATATAGTTGTTTAATTTTTATCTTTATTTAATTAGTCTAATTTATCATCTTTCATTTTTTAATTTTTCTGTATTCTCTTTTTATCATCACTATCCTATTCCTCATCTTAAATCGATAACGTAAATGATGGATTTTAAGCAAAATATAATCTCCTTTACCTAAATAATTTTACAAAGCTAAATATCCGCAGTAGATTTCGTAATTATAAAGCATCTTTCTTGCGTCAAGTGCTAAGTGCGCACACATACAGCTCGTTTGCTCTCTCAACTATATTATATATTTATTTATTCAAATCAGGAATTGCAATATTACGAGCGACGCATTCGCTGTGTGTGTGTGTGTGTATGCGGATTTATGTATTCCATCTCGTATCCCATACGTATCTAGCCCTGCCAGCTCAATTTTCGCGAAGAATACCCCCCTCGGCTAAGGTGACGACCTCGCGCATACGCACATCGCTCTCCTCGCGCGCGGCGGCGTTCAGGCCTCCCGCAACATTGCATTTACAAAACGACGTCGCGACTTCGTGCTACGACGTCGCGCCGCGTCGTCGCCGGCGATGCCCGCTGATGCCCGCCGCGCTTTTGCTCCAATTTTTACATAACACGAGGATGTGAAATTGGAGAAATTTTATTCATGAAACAAAGCGCGCGCCGACGGCGATACGAGATCCACGCGGGAAACTTCCTCGTCATGTAATGCGACGTGATGGTGCAGCGCTCGGGCGCGTCGCCGCTAACTGTAAACAAGGACGGCTCATCGACGAGCGCGCAAAAACAATTGCACATTCACGCTACATTCAGATCGCTTGGTTGGCGTATCGGAAAATCGCTGTATCACCCTGCCTGCAACTTGCACAGCCTTCACGGATGCTGCAACGGCGTGTCGCACGACTGTTAGTCGAATAAACTCGACTTTTTATGCGCTCCTACACGCTTGGATGCTTTCGAAGAAACAAATAGAAGATAAAAATTTTGTTACATGTGTTCCCACATAATATCGAATAGATTTTTTTTAATCGTAACTTTCAACGAATTTGATAGAATTTACAGCTGCAGAGTTCGCGACAGTAATGCGTCAGTCACTTTCAGGTCCAATTGGTTAAGTGGATTTAACACAAGTCTGGTCACGTTGATTGATTCATTAATTGGTTCGAATTACAAGCGTGCCCGACGATCAAGATTAACCTAATTCCGCCCTTAGATTTAAATCCGCGCGTTGAATTTCCATCTCGATGTACGTAACATTAGGGTGATCCATTTGCTCGTCATTATTACGCGTATTACCGAAACAGCACTGCACACACGCGGTTACACGTTCGGGTACCGTGTGCTCCTGCAGTAACGATCTAATTTGCAAAACGCTTTCGCAACGAGCTATGAAATAAGAAAAGAGCAGCGGTAAAATGGTATATATTTAATTATGCTGTTTACTGCGTCATTCAGGTCAAGTGAGTCTGCATCGCTTAAATACATAAATAAGCAATTACAATTGTATGATTACTGGCTGTGATTTATTAAGTACACGTTATCGACGTACTCGGTTTTCTCTTTAATCTCGTATACGATTAAAAGAACAAATATTTATTACCGACAACGCTCGTTTGATCAGATTTATAGTAACGATGCACGATTTTAAAATATTTTAAAATATAAAATTTAAAATGCTGC